TTGTTCAGCACAGTTTTCTCCTTGGTCCTCACCAGAAGTCCTCCTTTTAAATCCACCCCCTCCTCCCACCTCCCCTCAGGCCTGTCAGCAAGCCACGTGTCCACCTATGCCTCCTTGGACAGGACTCCGCCCACTCTGAGCCTCACCCTTCCTAGTCTCAGTGGTGGTCTCAGTGGTGGGCATGGCGGGGCCAGCTGTTGGCCTGCCTCCAGCTCATCCCGCCTCCACGCTCATGGCTCAGCCGTTGTTCGAGGCTCGCCATTTCCAGGTGCCTCCAGTGTCTTGCTCTCTAACCCTGGCATCTGGTGGGTCCTCTGGCTCCCTGCTTTGTTTGGCCCCGTCACTGCTGGTTGTTCCAGTGTCATGCTCCCAAGGCCTCTTTGCTCCTCTGACACAGCCCGCTGGTTGGCACAGGGTAAGTTGTTGAAGCTCCCCATTGGTCCTGAGGCCTTGGTGGCTGCCCTCTGCATATAGCGAGTCAGGAGGGATAGTCCCAATACAGTACATTTTAAATGCTGTTTAAAATGTCTTAATGTTCTGATGTTTTACCACCTTGGGAACTTTATTTGGGCGTAAAAGTAGCATAGAAATATCTCCTATATAATCCATTTTCGTCTGGCAATGTTCGATGCACTCCAGAATCAGTTGGGTGCCTCATCTGCCACTAAGAAGGCACTGCCTGCATTGACTGGCTCCATTGCCTGAGTCCCGCCCACAGAAGCGGCGGCCAGCGTTTCGGGCTCAGTGTGTTGTGAGCCGGCCAACTGGATGAACACTCTGGTGGGCAGAGGAGAAAGGGGGGAACTGAGCAAAAGACCAGAAATGCTAAGAAAACTGGCCACGGAGAAACGCATGCCCCTACGGGCTCCCTGAGGGCCTCATTTACTGGGAACAAAGGGAGTCCCGCTGAAAATGCCCCTCCCCCCGCCGCAGTCTGATGGCAGGCCTTCACCACCTCCTCTGCTTCCACGTGTCTGGCCCGGCAGAGAGAAGCCCCGCATGTGTGACACAGCTGCCTGTGTGGCAGCCAGGCAAAGGGGTGGCATTCGGGGTACTCAAAAGCCAAGGGCTGGCCAGCCAAGTTGGCGAGTTATCGGGAAGCGCCCGGGGCGAGCTCCATCCGGCCCACCCTGGGGTCCCCCAAGCCACGTTGCCACCCGCCCTCTGAGGTCACTGGCCAGCCTGGGGGAGGCCAGCCCAGGCGGCACGGAAGCCCCGGCAGAGGCCAGACGATGGGCTCACATCACCATTTGTGAGAGAGCCAAAGACAGCAGCAGCAGTGCCTCAGCCCAGCCCTGCCGCTCTTTCACTCCTCCATCTCCATTAAATAAATAAAATAGATTAGACTGTATTTTATGTGGGTCTGCCTTTGAAGAATGTCCAAAAGCTACAATTGTTAGAGAATGCTGCAGCCAGACTTCTCGCTGGAGTGGATCATAGGGACCATTTCACTCCAGTCTTGCCTCCCAGTTTGCTTCTGGGGCCCATTTAAGGTGCTAGTACTGACCTTTAAAGCCCTATGTGGCTTAGGGGCCACCATACCAAGGACCACCTCCTCTCATATAAACCCTCCTAACTACTGGTCTTCTTCAGAGTCCCTGCTTCAGGTGGAACATGTCCAGAGGAGGGCAACAAAGATGGTGAAGGGTTTGGAGACTGAATCCTATGAGGAAGGTTGAAGGAGCTGGGTGTGTTTAGCCTGGAGAGGAGACGACTGAGAGGTGATATGATAACCATCTTCAAGTACCTCAAGGGCTGTCATACAGAGGATGGTGCAGAGTTGTTTTCTGTCACCCCAGAAGGTCAGACCAGAGCCAACAGGTTGAAATTAAATCAAAAAAGTTTTTGGATAAACCTTAGGAAGAACTTACTGACAGAGCAGTTCCTCAGTGGAACAGGCTTCCTTGGGAGGTGGTGGGCTCACCTTCTTTGGAGGTTTTCAAACAGAGGCTAGATGGTCATCTGATAGCAATGCTGATTCTGTGAGCTTGGGTAGATCATGAGAGGGAGGGCAGGAAGGGTTGCATAGATGCTTGGTTCTTGTGGCTCTTACTTACATGCCCAGGGAAATGCTGATTGCCACTTTGGGGTCAAGAGGCAATTTCCCCAGGCCAGTTTGACCAGAGATCCTGGAGGGGTTTGGGGTTGGCTTTTTTTTGCCAACTTCTGGGCATGGAATGGGGGTCACTGGGGGTGTGTGGGGGGAAGTATTTGTGAATCTCCTGCATCGTGCAGGGGGTTGGACTAGATGACCCTGGAGGTCCCTTCCAACTCTATGATTCTATGATCCCTAACAATACAGCTTAACTGGGTGGGGAATAAGGGGAGAATAGTTACACAACAGAAAAATCCTATTGAGGTCATGCATATGAATGGTCAAATCCAGCCCTTCCTTAATGGCATCATGTCAGGCAAAAGTAGCTGGGATCCAGAACAGGACGTCTCTAGATCCAAATACAGAGGGGAGGGAGGCGTCATCTGAGAGGAGACACTCCTTAGGATAGTAGGACTCTTAAAGTCTGTGTCTAGGGCTTCACAGGGACAGCTCCATGTTTTTAAAAAGTTATAATTCATGTTTCAAATATGTAACTAGTCCTTCCACCTTTGCCATTGCCACAACAAATAAAAAGTGCTGATCCTTGTAAAATGTGCACATCGATTTTAGTGGCATGCATTATTCCACAGTGCACTTAAACTGGAAGCACATAGAGCCAGCCTCATTGCTTGTTGGCCAAGAATCCATAGCCAAATTTCTGATATCAGTTCCCCCAAACAGAGCCCCCCTCCACAAAATCTGATACAGAAACCATGCCAGACACAATGAACTATGCATGCTAATTGTCTTCCAGTGTGTTGGTTGCTAGCTAAACGCCATCTGACTGCTACATCAACAAATGGGTCCATTCCAGGCTCTGCTTTGCATTCCATGTCCCAGGGCATGGTCTGAAGGCATACAAGGCAGCAACCTTTACTAAAGCTCTCTGGATAGTGCTGCATCATGCAATCCTAAGCAGAGCTGGAACTTTCTAAAACATATGGGCTTAGAAAGGTCTAACTGGCTAGGATTGCATTATGGGAATTCTGTTTCTGCTAAACTGCCTTGTACATACTGTGAAAAACAAAATAAATAATAATACATTAATAATAATCTCTCCTTTATTATAAAGGAGTTTTGGGTGCCAGAATTCTAAAATGCGCCCCGTTAGTGTATGGGCAGAAAATATGCCACTCAGAAGACCTCCCTCCAATGACTGGCTCCCTCAGACAACCTGCCCTGCCATTGGCTGGGTGGCTGGGAGGGGAGGGAGCCAGTCATCGGAGCCAGCATCTTCTGAGCGGCCATCTTCCCCACATAGACTAAGGGCTGCTTTCAGCCCAGCGGCGAACGGAGCCGATAGGCTCCGTCCGCCGGTT